CAATAGAGAAAACCCACTTTATAGAGGCTGGGTCTCGCTATCCAAGGGTCTATTGATGGCTGATAAAGCAGATTAAGTAATTACTTGCCATCAGCCGGATTCGTACCCGAGACCTTTAGCTTTGGAAGTCAGTGTCATACCCACTGATCTACCCCGTTTCCAAAAAAATCGAATATCATTGATAAAAATGGTGCCAACATTGAATATAAATGTGACGATCTTGGTTTAGGAGGTTGTGTATACCCATTTTTTTCTTTAAAAAAACAAGTATATTGGTGTAATTAAATAAATACCAATTTTTATATCCTGAGAAATTGTTTTATTTATGGTATAATAGTGAATTTCTGGTTTACCGTTGAATGAATTGTAGTTCAAAGATGAAATTACACACAAATAAAAAGTGTTATATTATAATGTGGCAATATTTCGGCCTAATTTTTAGGCCTTCATAAGTCTGAGTTTTATACTTATACTACCTCTTCAAGTAGACCACTTTTTATATATTCAGTTCTATAGAACTGCTGAGTAATATGGGTATGGGCATAATTTTCATTAATGGTTCATGTTTTATCAAGAACTACATGATGTATTTCAATGTTGTTCGAAATATTTACATTACATAATAGATAATAATAAGGTATTCCTGTTTATGTATTCCGCTGCAGTATTTCAAAAATAAAGCAAATATTTTCGAATCAACGCTTTTGTAAAAACAGACAGTTTTAATGTTTAATATTTCTTAATTGGTAATTGGTTGACTGTCGTGGATAATGAAGAGAAGAATAGTTGGGGTGTTCAGTCAAAAAGGAAGGCAAAAATAAATTATAATATTTATTTTTTACATATGCCAAAATAAAAAATAAAAATATGTAAAAAATAAATGGCATATGTAAAAAATAAATATTATAATTTATTTTTGCCTTCCTTTTTGACTGAACACCCCAACTATTCTTCTCTTCGTTTAATATTTCTATTTACATGATCTGAGATGTTCCTGAATTTTTTGTTATCATTCTCATATTAGTAAGTCAGTAAACAAATTAATAAGTATAGTTAATGTTTTAATAATTCCTTTGACTATAATTTATCCTACAATTTATCAAGCTATTTTATAAAAAAAAATCGTTTACACAACATTGATTATGGTTTCTATTTATTTATTTTTTTTTTGTTTATAACTGAATTACTACTTAAACTAAATAATTAAACAACGAATTGTCATCTTATGTCTAAAGTTGTAAATTTTCATTTTAAGCTCATTGTGTGCGTTTCTTCATACTGTAATTTATGGTTCAATAGATAAAAAGTTCATTTTTACGAACGTAATATAAAAAAACAGATTAGAAATTGTTTAAAGTCGCGACACCTCTTCTTACTATATATTTCGTATATTGGTAAGTAAAGGTAAAAATGATAGTTCTAGATAGTAACAACACAAATGTATATAAAAAACAAAAAAATACTGTATGTCTTGTTTCTTTATGTAATTATTACATTTTTTTGCTAACTAACTATAGAGATACCTATTATGATTAATATTTTTCATTCTTTTGTTATCTATGAAAGGTATTTAGTGAATGAGTTTGATTTATTCGCATTTCGCTTACTGAGAATAAAGTGATTATCTGTGATACTTGATGTCATATCTGATATATTTTCTTTATCAGACGATGGTCCCAGTCTTATTATTATTTTCAATAACACAGATCTTATTGTCAAAAAACATCTTTTTTTATTGTTATCCTCACTTCGTGGAATCATTAGAAATTAATTTCATACTAATTAATTACGACTATTACACTTTATATTAAATACATACCGAATATCATTATTTTTACTCATAATAATTTTTTTTTATGAAACATTATGGTTTGACATTTTTATTGTAATTTCAAAAGTTATGTCATAGTAATATTAATAAATAGCGAACTACAGAAATAATACAATAAACTATTGTAATAGCCCTTTCCTAAAACGTTTTCTATATTTCATTTACCGTCAAATCGTGGTAGAGCCCTGAACTGGTTGAGTCTGACATTTATTGTGGGGAATGATTACGTTGAACACCTTCTTTCATTAGGTCGTCAACAATAGTATATACTGTAACTTACAATTGCTCTTTAGAAATTAAATTATCTTTTAAAGTATTATTGTTCGTGTAATTGTATTTAATAGGACTTACAGAATCACTTAAACACCATTTCATATAGGTAGTTAGTTTCTTTTTTTTCCATTGTAATTATCGTTAAATGTATGAAAAAAAAATCTTTCGGGCTGAAGCTCCCCTTCCCCCAAAATTAAATCATGGATGCGCTAGTGTTCTAGACCCATATTAAATGCCATCGAATACAGTATCTGATGAGTAAACCTTTCTGGTGATATCATTAAGAAATCATCACTAAGTAAACTCTTATTATCATTAAGTGGGAACGGTTGATAAACTGAAAAGCGTCATTGTATTTTGATATGCTTCGTGTTTAATTACGTTTTGAAATAGTTGTTGTTCCAACTGTAGCGTAGATAGTGCGAGGTATCTTTTCTTGGATATCGATATCTTAAACATTTTTTTTTAATCTATAAAATAATTGAAACTTCACCTACGTCAAAATCATATATATTTTTTCATATATTTTTTATACGTTACATTTGTTAAAGGATAAGCTTTCGGGAACTATTTATTTTTGCTTGTTTACTTGTAATTTTACGTAGCATCTCATAATTTGTTTATAATTCATACGAATTAACATTAGGCGTTAACTTTAGGGAAACATCAACCGATTTCTTCAACTTTTTAATTATGGCAATCTATTAGTTATTTTAATAGACTGTCTTCGCAGCCTGATTCGCCTAGCTCTAGCGATCTATGATAGCCTGTCAAACAGGTTCTGTTGTCGAACCTTCACGAGAGACTATGTTATTTAAAAGAAAAATCTATCCAATTTAACCCTTGAGTTTTATATTTTAGACTTTTAAACTATTGTCATTTAAAAAAAAAATCATTTTTGTTTAAATTGTGGCATTTAATTGTATGATTAGTTTATATAATTTTATCAATTCATACTGTTATAATAGCGTAGACTAGGATACTATTTATAAGCATAGACTGCCAGATGTATTAATTTCACATATTCTATCAGTTTGCAGCTCCATTCTATTGTTTACTCTGTTGGCTATCCTACACACACATAAATGTTTATTGAAGAGAAGAATGGTTGGAACGATCCGTAAAAAAAAAAAAAAAAAAGTAAAAATAAATAAGTATATTTATTTTTATTTTTGCCGACGTTTCTTTTTTTTTTTTGTTATTATTTAATGTTTATAGTTTCTCATACCTATTGTTGTCTGGTTTTTTCTTAGCCCCGATGAAGGCCTGAACTTTGGGCACAAATGTCGGCAAAAATAAAAGTAAATATATTTATTTATTTTTACTTTTTTTTACTGATCATTCCAACCATTCTTCTCTTTACTACACTTAACCATCGATACACAATTATAAATATTCATTAATGTGCTGTGGTTCTGTTTAGCTCGCTTAATAGGACTTAGTCTTGTCAATAACTTTTTTTGACACTAGATATATTTTCAATTATCTATAAACACAAAATGATGCAAACGATTTTTTGTTTGAATATACTTTTGTAACTTTCCCGAGAATAATCAGTTAATTCTGGCACCTGTAAGCATACATTGTAATATGGCTTTACGAAATATGGGCTTGATAAAATTACGTTTAAATCCATCTTATTTTCATGGTTAATTAATCGAACTAATATTTAAGTACATGCAAAGTGATTTTGAAAATACCATTGAATCTAATATTTCAAAAATATGATAGATAATTTGAAAATAATTAACGTTAGATAGGTTAGGTTATTCAGTTATCAAGTCAATGTTTCAATTATTAATACAAGTTAAGAAGTACATTCGATTTAAAATACAAAAAGACTAATTATTTCTATACTGCGGTTAAATTCAAAATGGCGGTTGTACTTTCTAGTATAATGATTTCGAAACAGCCTTTATTGTTTTGTTTAATCTCATAATACCACGATAAAAGCCTTGGTTATTGAATTCTTGCTACAGACTCGAGAAAATTACCTTACTCAATTCTGGACCATTTATCCCAGAAGTAGAGCACCCATTTCCTTTACGTACTCACCAGCTTGGCTCAGTCAGAACAAAGATAAAAAAAAATATCCGAACTAGTATTTAAGAATCAAGTCGAGATAAGGATGCGAGCGGTGGTTGACAAAAACTTCTGCCTGTGATCCATCATCACTGATAAATGAACCCAGATAGTCAGCTGGGGTTCCAAAGGAAGGACTTATTTTTTACGCTTGTAGTTAGATATCCGTTCTCTTATCTAAGACTATATTTCAATGTGGACTTTTCTCACTAACTTACAGTAACCGGTATCAACTCTTCCGGTATGCTTTTTTTTTATTGGTTGTGGAAGAAAAAGTAAAAATTATAATTCCCGGATAATAGAAATATAATATTTTACCATGCATTGGTCCAAGATATTATGTCAGGTAACAATTTAAGATGAATGTTAGCTCTATAGCAATGGGAGACCCCTAATTGCCCCGAGTACCTTTTCACCCTTATCTCCCCCCCCCCTCTCTTCAGTACCCTCTTTTCTAACGGTTTAGGTTCTTGATTCATTCAGTGAAGATGTTAACATAATGATAACTGAGTTATTGCAAAAATAAAATAATGACCATTTGGGTTTTCTTGTTCTTGAGAATTAAGTAGATATAGCACATTTGTTTTCCAGTTTGAAGACTCGTCTGGTCACAATATTACTACACTAAAAGCTGTGTTTCAGCTTTTAGTGTAGTAATCAATTTAACTATGATCCATTTCAGTTTTCTTTTCACTATCGAAAAGAATGTTTGGCTGATTCTACATACTTGGTTTTGTTCTTTTACCTCTTCGCTTATTGGAATAAAAGGTTGCCGCGCAGAATTGCAAACTGAAAGTCTCCTTTGTTTAGGAGGCTAGCACGCTAGCTGGCTTCTAAATCCGTTGTGCTGATGAGGCATTGTGGAGGCCTCGGCTAACAGTTCCATGAGGGTCTGTAGCGGTGTCACTACAGCTGTCACAGGGTCTGGGATGTTGGTGGCCTCCTGCCATTTGGAGTGTGCTCTCCCCATCCCTGCATGTTTGCTTTGGGGGCTCTTTAGCTACAGTGCTTAAATAAAGAAATTATCCCTGATAAGGAATATTAATTTAGGAAAAAAAAAATGTGATTGTTTATTTGCGGAGTTCTTTGAAAGTATCTTTTGACAACCATTCATTCAATAAAAGCTTGTTAAGATGTTGATGCCTGAACGCAATGTTTGTGAAACATCCTTGCGTAGAAATATTGAGAGTCAATTAAGTTTTTACCATCGTCTCATTTTTCTTATCTCCTTTCTATTCCATCTGCTCCATTAATTTTATATCGTCTGTTTTTTAAAATAAAGTGTCACAAGGCAAAGGCGTAGGAAGCTATAAACAATTTACCCCAAAAGAAGGAGCATATTTTAAAATTTAACTCCTATCAACTATAGGGTGTCGTTTTTCCTAATTAGTTTTTTTTCAAAATGTTTAATTAATAACAGTCAATTTCGGAATCGTTCTTAATATTGTTTTTCAGATTTTTTTTTATTTGTTGTAAGTGATGTTAGTGCCCCGCCTTACCTTTCCTTCCCCCATTCTCCCGACTACGCTTATGCTAGAAGATAGAAAAGGCGATTGAGTGGCTTCATATAAGATACGGACAACTGTCATTTTTAAAAAGTTGAGAAAATGCAAATTTTCTTAAATAAAATCATTTAACTTTTTCTCCACTTTTTTAAAATGACAGAGATCCGTCTTCGATATGAAGCCGCTCAATTGTTCACTGCTCAACATATTTCTTGATCCAAAAAATGTTTGAAATCTTAGTTGAAATAAAAATCTCTGGAAGTTACTTACTTTACTCATATTTTTTCTTCCCGTTTCTCGTTTTAATTACTTCGCCAAATTTGATTAGGAGGTATTCAACCTTATCGACAATTCCAATTTATCTTCGACTGCACGTTTTTTTAGAATATTCTAAAGTTTCTTCATCAGAGTCTAAAATTGTTCTTACTTTATCCAAAGTAAATTTTAAGAGTCTATCTTATTAACTAGTTGCCTAATTGCGCATATATTTACAATTCATAAGCAGAACTGTTTGGAATGTTTACATCTACGAGATGTCGAGATATCCAAGAACTCGCCTTTGATGGCATTGTATGATATGCTGTAACGTATTTCTGAAAAATTGAGTCATAATTATCTGCAATCAGTAAACTTATTATCAACAACCTGAACAAAATTGTTATTACTGATCGTACTTCTAATTTAAGAAGTTAGTCGGGGAAACAGCTGTCTCTGTGTCTAACGTCATTCAAAACGTTGGCAGTCAATGAATATATTGACATTTATTACCAAATAATTGTGTGGCTTTTGAGGCTTCCACCCAGAGATGAGCAAATTCTACTCGAATACCGAGTGTCAAGTATTTTACTCAAATTGAATCACTTTTGGGAATTCAATCACTACTTCAGTTGATCGTTTGACTTCAAATGAAGTAGTAATTAAGTTCGGTGGTACTAAAAAAAAGTCATTATTTTAGTAAAATACTTGGTACTCAAGTACTCAGAGCAGCTTTTGCCCATCTCTGTCTCCACCCGACTAATGTCTTGATTTTTTTTTAGTTTATTAGCTGAACTTCTTTTTGTTACCTACTTCATCGTAACGGTTTAGTATGAAAATTATTTGTTTTTTTTTATTGGTTTTATTTAGTTTTTGAATTTATAACTACTTTATTTTTATTGAATGAAATAAGAATGATGAATGATTAGGGCTTCCTTAGGTACAACCTCTAGTCAGTCCTTCAGCTCTGCTGTTCCTTTCGACCAGATCCAAAATTATTTAATTATTTTCTCAAACGTCTTAGTATTTATTTATTTTAGAAAATCGGTACATCTAAAACCAAACTATAATAATCAGGACTTTGTGGGTATGTTTGAATATCTATTGGTAGTAAAATATGGTTGTTTCGAATTTAATATTTCCTCAGTTTACAGCATTACGCAAATAACATGATTATAATTAGCTCATTGGCGCAAAAAAAAAAAAAAAAAAAAAAATCATCTTACAATAGGATCAGAGAAATTGAGAGACTCTTAGTATGCCGTTATAAATATCGTGGTTTTGATACCCACAACCACCTGGTTCAGTTAATATTTATTTCTGATACTTAGCGTACATCATGATACATCTTTAGGTATCGGTCAGGAATAACCAAAAAGGATTATAAGGTCCATGTACCGTACTAGTTTCTCTCTTCAATAGCAGCGCCACTATTGTATCAGTAACAGTGCATGAAATCACTGTTATAGTTGTTTCTTTGCGAAGAATGAATACAGATTCTCATGTGCAACTTCTCAGCTGCAACTATAAATATTTGTTTTAGTAAAGAATGTGTAAATGGTTGTTTCAATCGATTCTAAGTTAAGAAAAGGAAGATCGGAGTAATGCACTCATACATCAATTCTTAAAACAATGATAAAAATTAAAATTTTTATTTTTCTACTCTTATTTGAGTATTATTTTAAACAGATGTGTCAAACTGTTTTATTCGATAATATCATAATCATTCGCAATCAACGATAATAAATACAAATTTTGTTAACATTAATATTATTTATAATTATCTCCTCTACGGTTTAAGACATAACAGCTCTTCAATAGATTCGAAACTTTCTTCTTAAAACGCATCATTGGTGATTGAGGTTTACAAGAAGTCATTTATACATATTTTTATCTGAGAATTTTAAGAAATTGTTTTTTGTTTTTTTAAAAACATTTTCTGGACAATCTCTCTTTCCTAGTGATGCGGTGATCTAGTTAATGTTCCTGATTTTTGCCTGAGAGTATTTTACTTAGTTAAAATTGTTTACGATGCTTTTTTTTTTTATCTGCAGCCTCTAATTTTATCTAAAACAATTAACATGGTAAGAAATATGAATACTTAAGACACTGTATATGGCAAAATGACTTGTAGATAAATTAATTATAAAATCAAATTTATTTATTTATTTTTTTAATTTCAAAATTATTATTGGCACACGGCTTAATTACCAGGATAAATAGTTATACATGTTATACAGTTATGCAGGATGATTAACGAAAATGTAATTTAATTTAATGTAAAATGTAATTTTGATGTGTTGTATGAGCTCCATTTTGATGATTGTGTTGTTGGAGTCAGTGACTGTCGAGCCTTCCAGCCAGTTCGTTAGTTGGCTGGAACTATTAATTTTCTACCCTTCCAGTCAATGAAGTCTGTCACCATCGAAGAATGGTTGCTGCTGGATCCCCTTTTTTTCTTTTCTGTTTTTTATGCAATGAAAACATTAAAGGTAGTTAAGTATCCATCCTATTTAGTACGTCAACGATATCGTATTGTATTTCGGTGTAGTTAACGTAGTTTTGAATATTTCGATTTACATTTATTACCATAATGGATCGGTCCTTGTAGTTCGTTTTTTTATTTTAAGTGAAATGAATCCCAACCTAGAACCTGTTATAGATATTTTAGTATTTTACTTCATTTTTGCTACTGAAATTTCTAGGCCTTTTATTATATTTTTGAGAAACATCTCTTTTAGCTACTGAAAGGAAACCATATTTATTAATTTCTTTTCTCATAGTCTCCAGTCATTGGCAAAGGGTAAAACCAATGGAGCTCACGTGATTGCCCGCATCCATCAAACAAGACCCTCATTTGTAAAGGACTACCATAGATTAATAGAGGGGAACTTACCCCTAGTGCGGTTAGGGGGTTTAGACCGACAATTATTCAGATTCAATTTATGTCATTCGTCGGTTATTGTTCGCTTGGGTATCGATCATTGTTCTTATTATAGCGTTAGATTGTATGATTTATATTTCATGGCAAAGAACTAATAGTGTTACTAACCAGTCATTGTTCCACAAAGTAACTTTAACCGTACAAATCAGAATGGGGTTACAGCCCAAAGCGGGTCACAGACGACCAACTTGTTCGCCAACCTTTTGTTGTCAACATTCTATATCATATCAGTAATTATGAAATATCTTTCAATACTATTCTGTTCGCTGACGCTCAACATTGTTTTCAACACAATTTAGAATAAGGTTGGTGACCATGTTGTTCATCACTCCCTTATATTATCCCTTATAACAGTCCCTTATGTTATCATCAATCCCTCCAATCCTCTTTGATTAGATAAAAAATATTTAAAATATACAAAATTTAATAAATAGCTTAAACACAGGATTATTACAAGTTTTATTGCTTGGATTATTTCTCTTAGGAAGCTCATTTCACAGCTTAAGTGTCATTTAAAGAACATACTTGTTTCTTCACAAATGGTGGCCCACAAGATTTCGTTGAGGTCATAACGTGGCCCGTGAGTCAAAACGTTTGGTGACCCCTGCCTCAAGACATTAGGTTTTATTTACAGGTTACACTGAAATCATTAACTGAAACCTAAAATCTTTTTAACCGATAAATTATCTAAAACTCTTATGCCATTGTCGTTTTAAGATGCGTAGCATCGGCGCTCCTGGACAATGACGTCATCCTTCCTCACAAAAAATTAATTTATTTCTTATGTTGTTTTATATTAAGTAATATATTATATTATATTCAATGTCATTCATTTTCTTTATAACTAGGCTAAAATTAATCATTCTTATACACTCGTAACTTTTTTTTATGCGGGATGTGTGGTAGGCGCCCCCATCAGGTCCATAAGTAAATTTGCGCATAGATATGTTGTCTTGTGGCAACTATTATTCTCCATATTCGTTTTTGCGTTCGTTGTGGTGATTTAAAAATCTGCGAAAGGAAATAAGGTTGGGTCTTGGATTTTCATTTACTACTGGATTATTTTTAAACGTCTTATAAAGACTTTAATGTTCCAAGTGAATAGATAAATCTAATGCCGCCTAATGAAGGCATAACCAGCCAATCTCCAAAAACAAAGAGCGTTTAGGGCAGAGTGACCCAGATCCTAGAGAGGGCAACCGAGCGTGGAAGCTGCATTGGCCAGGCCACGACATTAACGTTTCCCTTTTTCAATCTCCTTCAGCAATCGATGTGGCTAACTACCCAGGAGCGGTAATGACGCCAATCTAGGAAGCATTGTCTTCTTGGCCACGCCCTAAGGCCATCGCCTCCTTCCTCTTCAACAACGCTTCTTTGAGTTGTGGAGGCTCGTTTGTTCAGAATATAAGCTGCATTTGAAGTAGCATCCTTTTTAAAACTACGAGACATTATAATGCTTGTTAAAACCGTATGAATAAACTAAGCTTCATGGCGGAAACTAATTTCCAAACAGTGCGAAACAAAACCCACTTTGCATTTATCATATTTTCATCTATGAACAGATAGATTGAAAAAAAAAAAATCAACTTATTTTGGCACTCGATCTCAATATAACAAAAAATATGTACAAATTAAGTAGAAACCAGATCTGGATTAAATACTGTATTAATAAAAATAAATCAGTAGAAAAAGTGTCGTCAGAATATATATATATCTTTATGCTGCTTATATATATATATATATATATATATATATATATATATATATATATATATATATATATATATATATATATATATATATATATATGTAAGCAGCATAAAGAGATTTCTCTCAAAAAAAGAGAACAATTATATTTAAAAAAAGGTAAAATATATATTCATATAGGACGATAAAGCTGTTACCTAACTTTGCTCCTAATAAGTTATTTCACTATCAGTGACAACAATGCTGCTAAAATAATATTGATACTTTCATAATGTAAAATCACAAGGTTTGGTTGGAGCATTAGTCAGCCGAATGATCAATCAAAGTGGAAAACGATCTCCTGACAGACATTTAGACTTAGTTAAACGGACAGAAGAACGTTAGAGAGACCAACTCTTCTTAACTGCTGTGCTACATCTCAACTTTCACTACTTTGCTTGTATATCGTCTCTCTCTCTACTAGAGTTTTGTTCAAGCCTTTTTTAAATCTGATGGAATATTTTACGTCTCTGAAACAAGAATCAATAATATCCTAACGTATCCCGTATCATGCTTCTTTCTATCGCGCATCACTGTTTACTCATTTAAGCCGTTCAGCTATGAAACTGTCACAGCAATTTCAAAATATGTCAGTGGTATTATCTATTACTGAAAATAATAAATAATCAATTCTTTGTCATATTATTGATCGGCCTAATTTCAAGGAATTAGGAATCATTGTGACTCAACGTAATGATCATTAATCTGTGGGATGAAGATCATCTAATCACTAATGATTTCCATCATCAAAATCCAGTTAATTAAAAACAATTGTATTTGAAATATTCTTAAAACATTCCATAAAGTACACGTGTTTTTAAATGTTCAAAAGGATTGAAAATTAATACGCCTGAGGGGATGGAGCATGGAGGAGGGACAAAAATAGGATTAATATTAATCAAAATTTTTTTTGGATCTTCTTAAAACCGTAAAAAAATAATAAATTTGTGTTCCTCAGCTACACTACTGGATGCCAAATTATTTAAATTTTCACAGTTTGTTGATGCATAGTAATTATAATTGTAATATATGATTTTTAATCATTTGTTTTATTAATCCAATCGATGATAGTACGTTTAGTTTTGATAAATAGGATACAAGTCGAAATTCGTGACGGACATGGGAACATAGAAACGGCGCCAAGCATAGCTGGTCCGAAAAGGAGTATTTCACTTGTACTTGGGTTGCAGGATGAGTAGCGTGGTCGTGCGGCGGAAGAAAGCGACGCCTTTAGAATACAGATCTTGTTAGGATCTCGAATCACTGACATGTCTTGGCTGGTTGAATGGTCTTGTAGCAGTTGAATAAATAGGCAATTGTCGCTACTGCTGATATTATTAAACATTGGCATTTGAATTATGTGTGAAGATACACGAAGGCAGGTAGGCATATTTTATAAAGGAAGAGGTCTACTCAGTCGTGGAAGAGGCTGAGAACAGCCAACTCCTTCAGAAAAATCCTCAGATGTTCCAGGAATCATACCAATAAAGTTTCTAATCTGCGACGTTAAACATGGCATTCAGCGAGATGGTAAAACACTAACTTATTGGATTTTAATTACACAGTTCGACTGAAATTAGAACCTGTATTCTTTGTTTTGTCTTGCTGGAATTAGGACATGATTGGCCAATTGTCTATCTCAACCAGTGGCGTAACTACCGTGGAGCAGTTCCAGGCGCCGTCTCAGAAGAGGTACCACGACAAGAGACAAAAAAAAAAAAAAAAAATTAAATCTGTACCTAAAAAACTTACACGACTCCCAATTATAATATAAATCATTTCATCGTCATGAGACAGGAACAAGTGATACGATGTATGCGTTTATATAATTTTTAAGAAACTACAACAGGTTAATCGTTTAGGAAGAAATCATTAAAACATCGAGGTTGAACGATAAGGGTTTCTTTGATGTTAGTTAGCTTCTTTTATCACTGACGTTATTAGTATGAATTGTTGGTTATCATATCTTATTCGGGGCCAAGAACTATGATTTTTGCCAGAGCTTAGCTTAAAGTCCCTACATGTTATTTTACCTTCCGCTCCTCACCTATAAAAGTAAACAATTTATAACAGTACTGTTAGGAAATATATTTCGAATAAATATCATCATTATGTAAAATTGTCTTATTTTATTGTTTGGATTAAGGATAAAACGACGACAAAGCAAAAACAAATATTTTTTACTTAAGATAAATAAAAAAAAATACACTCGAACTTTGCCCTCTTCCCGGACCTAGGTTCCCCTTTACTAGCCTGTATAACTCAAGTAAAAGTCGCGACTTTATTTATTTCTTAAGATTGCTATTAAAATAGATTTATATGATCTTAAAAGTTATTTTGATCCTAGTAGTTAAGATATTTATATTATATCATTTTTCACATTTGTTTACGCATGTATTATTTATGTTTCGTTCAAATTATTCATCACAGTGATCGATTTCTCTTTCAAATAATCAATCTAATGTCTAGTGGAAAAATCAAAATTATTCATGAACATTATAAATTGCATTTATTTTGAAAATTACTCGTAAATGTTAGAAGTACCTTTGCTTTGTTTACTGAAATGTTAGGAATATCAGACTTTGTGTTCTAAGAAACTTTATTATATTATATTTCTATAAATTAAAAGTTTATTTTTTATTTATGTAATTTCTTAAAAAAAAAAGTTACATTGAATAAACAATGAGCGGTTAGAGTAGAGCTTATATTAGAGTTATAATTTGTTTTAAATGAATTACTTGTTTCTAATGTGTAAACGACAAACAGTTTGAGTTTATTTTAAAACTAGAACTTTTTCCATAGCATCTTTTCAAGTTAAGGTTTTGTAGAACTTTTATTTTTCAAAAAAACTTTTATTTAAAAGTTCTAGCGATTACGGTAAAAAGTCGATCAAAAAAATTACTTTTATCCATAATTTCTCGAACAAACAACAAATTGGAATTATGTGTAATTCATTTTAGACAAATCATACCTCTAATTTAAGCCGTTGCTGTTTACTTTTTCATTTAATTGAACTTTTTTTAAAGAACTAAACTTTACTAAATAGAAGTTGAACTTATATAATATATAAACCCGGATTTTTATTACAAAAAAGTTCCTTAAAATTTTTATTTTAAAACATTTTTTTCTAAAACGTCTCACAGGAATTGTTAAAATGAAACTTTAAAAAGAAGGTCCATAAAAGTTTCAACCTCTGATACCGAGCATTATTTTTCCGCTTGTTGACTGAAAATAAAATTATGCCATTAAAATACAGTGATCATAGAAATTGTATCCATTGAATGTTTTTGTTTACTTACAAGAAAACTTAAACAGTGTTTCTCAATCCACTTTGAACTAATGCCAGGATAACAGCTGTTATTATGATCAGTTTAAAAAAATTGTCCTCGTCAGAAAATATTAAAATTGTGACGTTACATGAAGCGAACGAATTTTCACGAGGAAGATAGAGTACCACCATCAACCGTAGTCATAGTTTTGAAAAAAAATCTTCCTCAGGGCACTTTAGAGCGAAAGAAAGGAACTAGGAAGAGAATAAAACAAACGAACAATTAGATTTCTTAATTGTGCGATTATTTTTAGAATATCGCCTCAAAACTGGCGATTAATTAATCTGGTTGATAAAATAAAATTTTTATTGGGTGATGCAATTTCTATGACCATGACTGTAGATTAGATTTTCTCGTTCCGTTGAATAAGAATTTAAAAATAAATACCAAAACAATATCGACAAATTTACTCAAAAATTGATTCAAGAATACAGAAATATCAAACCCTTGCTCTTTCGAAACCATGTGAAGACATAAATATCTCAAAGTTCTTCTTTGGCGTCGGCCCATCAACTTCTTGAAGTCATCCAAATAATCGACCCGTTGGAGGGAACTATAAATAGGCAGTGATGGCAATGATGAAGGGTGGGAGTGACGTCATTGGGGGGCGGTGCCGACCAGCAATTAGACCAATTGCTGCTTGTGTTAATTGCCAGGGCCCTAGCTGCCCTTCCCAGCCGTCACTTCCTATGTCCTAGGGATTATCATATTTCTATATCAATCCTACAGCCCTGGTCCGAACTTCTCATATTTCTGCCTCACGTTTCATTTTAGATTTACTTTTACTAGTAAAGACTATAAACTTTCTCATGAGATAATCCTCTTTCTAACGCATTCGGCTTATGAGTGGCATATTTACATATGCAATATAATATTATAAAGATAGTCTATTCCAAAAAACAAAATTTGAAGTAACAACTTACTTAATAAGTGATAAGCTTGTCCCATTGGGCAATAAACCTCCAGTTTAATAGCTAAGCTATAGACACGCCTACCATTGAACCTAAACTAATCCATTACTATCCTCGCTTAAGACCTTTTCGTTTGGAGAATCAGAGCCTTAGTTTATAGGTCTCTCACTAACAAGGAGAGGTTACGGACTTGGGACCACCGATTTCAATGAAACTTTTTTTGGTGATACTAGATCAGTGTTCTTGCGAATGCGCCCTAGGAGTCGATAAAAAAATATTTTTTTGCGGTACCGTTTTCTGTCTTGGCTCTGCATGGATTTCTGATTCATTAGGTTAGAAATACGATTTTCATCACGAAAGCGGAACATTTTATGGACTTTAAAATACAGGGGTGGATACTCTCTTTCAAACTTTATCGACTTCGTTGAACTTTGAAATGTCCCTAGTTCTCAATGACAGTTTAATGATCGAAATCAGGATGAATCATTTCTTTAAGTAATTCTCTTTCGTTTGATACCTCATTCAACAAAATGTATCGCTCCTGTGAACCGGAAACAGATCTATACCTACCGTATAATATACAATGTTATTATATTTTAGAAATAGTTTCTCCATCTGGAAAAATATTCACGGCCATTTTCATATCTTGAAGTATTAAAACGCTCAAGATGATCTTCGACGATGCTAATGTCTTACTCTTATAATGAGCAGTTATTTGCGGGCCCGCTCATTTCAAATTGTAGGTGCCTCAGAGCTCTCTTGAAATGAATGTTTTTTCGCTAATAGCTTTTTGTTCTGAAGCCGGAATAAGGATAGCAGGAATTTTAAAAGTGGCTGTTTGGTGGTCTGAAATTAATTTTTATTACATGTGATCAGTAAACTTGGTTTATCGATGTTAGTCTGTCAAATATATGATATACCGGCCCAAGTTTAAACGTGAGTTTAGATTTGCAAATCTTAAAAGTATTTTTTTTTTAATGTTACATGATAAATTTTTGTTGCTATTTCTACATGTTATGTTTGGTTTAAGTTTCTACTGCTTGAGAGTAAATTTTTTTTTTCATTAATTTGTAGTATCTACATATGAAGATCTCTATTCCCCTGATATGTAAGCACATCTGAATCTTGTTAGCTTGTTCGAGCACAAATAGCATAGTAAGGGACACCGAGTACCATGTCATCATGGTGCTAATGCACATTTTCCAGGGACTGTTTACTCAGAACTCCATAGCTTATACCTTTGGGGTGCGTGCGGCATACCGTTCAAATTCAACTCAGGTTCAAGGATATTACGGAACCGGTTAAGATCTCAGGATAAAGGAATATCGGGGTCGGCAGGCCATCCAGGTTTTTGTTTATCCTTCCAAGAGGCAGATCGTATGACCAAAGATCCCCCAATTCCCGTTTTTAATTCACTACAACTGCCGTGCATATTTAGCTTCCGAATCGAAAGCTGAAAGCTGTGGAGGATTTACTGATAGACGAATGTAAATCATCTTGGTCATTGCTTTTTTTTTGTTTAAACATAGTAAGCCTTATTTTAAACATAATAATATTGATATCCTCTTAACTTTTATTTCTGTAACTGTTGGATGTGAATCTTGCAGTGTGACTTTCATAAACATTCACTTTTAATTTCTTAAGATAAAATAATTGATTGAATCCTTCATTGATTGAGTCCTTTCAACATACTAAAAATTATGCTTCCGAAATGTTACTTGACTTATTTTTTTAACGCAGATTCGTAGTAGATTTGTCTTTCATACCTTCTATTAAATTTCCTTTTACTCTATTCTGTTCCAATCTTTATTTTTTGGCTGTCAAGATGAGGGTGATGAGACTCATCTCTATCTTGATTTTTCTTCTATATCTAGCTTGAAATCTAACTTATATCTATCGCTTTGGCTTCTTTATTTATATAATATTTTGCTATCACCGATGAGCTGACGGGAATGTGAGAGTATTATTAAATTTAACAATTACCTTTAGAAATTATAGTCAGTTTATGGAGATGTAGAAACGAAGTGATG